ATTTCATGACCCAAACTAGATAACACCATCAATGCTAGAAGGGAGAGTGGATTTGGTGGAGGACGATGACTGTGGGGTCTTTGGTGGTCTCTGAGCTTGGTTGTTTTTTTTTGGTTTTTTTGCAGGCATTTCGTGACCCAAACTAGGAAACATCACCAGCCACTAGTATATAAAATGACAGCAATCCCTTACTAGTACTGATGTTACCTAGGTTGGTCATGAAACATCTGCAAGAAAACAACCGAGCTGAGAGGGCATCAACGACTCCACAGTCATCCTCTCCACCAAATCCACCCCTTTTCTAGTGCTGATATGTTACCTAGCTGGGTCATTAAACCTGGGCAAGAAAACCACCAAGCTCAAAAAGCACCAAGGACCCCACAGGCACTGTCATCCTTCTCCACCACACAGATGAAGTTACCTAGGTGGGTAATAAAACGTCAGCAAGAAAACAACCAAGCTCAGAGAGCATCAAGCACCTCACAGCCCTCCTCCTCCTCCCTGTAAATCCTACACTCTTCCAGCACTGATTAGGTTATCTAGGTGGGTCATGAAACGTCTACAAGAAAAGAACTAAGCTCAGAGAGCACCAAGGACCCCTCAATCCTCCTCCTCCTCATTCCTCCTCTCCACAAATCCAACTCCCTTCTACCACAGATGATGTTACCTAGGTGGGTTATGAAACGTCTCAAGTTCAGAAGGCGCTACAGTTCTTCTCCTCTCTGCAAACCCCATCCCCTTCCTTACACTGATGATGTTACTTAGTTTGAGTCATGAAACGTCTGCAAGAAAACAAACCAAGCTCAGAGGGCACCAAGGATTCCCCCACCCACCAGCCAGTCTATTGGGGGGGGGGGGGGCTGCTGTCCCCATGAAGCTCTTTTTGGATTTCAGGGCCATTTGCCCCAAGGAGGGAAACCTTCTGGAAGGCTTATTATGGGGGGGGTGTCTTATATCAAAATGAGAGGGTGCCTTCAGGCTGGGAAAAAGGGAGGCGCCCATGAATCAGCTGCTCCCCCCCCCCGCCCCCCCGCTTCTTGTTAGGTTAGCCAAGGCGAAGCTGGGGAGGGGGAACGAGGGCTCTTTTATTGCAAAAGGCTTCTCGAAAGCCAGGCCTCCATCCCATCCCCACGGGGGGGGGGGCTTCTCGGGGTCCCGTAACCGCCTACAGGCGGGGGCTGGATTCCAAACTCCCATCGTCCCCAGCCCCGGTGGCGGCGGATGGGAGCTGGAGTCCGCCGCTTGGTTGAGGTGTGTTGTGTGTGTCCTGAAGAGGGACGGGAAGCCGTCCGCCCCCCCCGCCCTCACTCACTCACTCACTGACCGTAGGGCTGGCCCCCGAGCTCATACTGCTGCATGCGGTAGACGGTGAACTCATGGGCGGCCGAAGCCGGCGGCGGGCCCAGCAGCAACAGCAGGACGGCGGGCAGCACCAGCAGGAAGCTGAGAGGCAGGCACGAGGCCTTCAGCAGCACCGAGCCCAGCACTTCCTCGCCGGCCTCTTCCAGCATGACGGCGGCGGCGGCGGCGGCGGCGGCTCCCGGACGCGAAGGGACGAGAAGAAACACCTCAGCCGGAGAAGGGGCGCGGAGCACGCCGGGAAATGGAGTCCGCCGGCCTGGCGCCGCCACCTCCTCCCCCCCCCTCCTCCGCGCGAAGCCCTCTGGGAAACGGGGAGGTGGTCACGCGCCTCCCCTCAACCGCCTTCCTCTCCGGCGCAAGGCATGGTGGGAGACGGAGGCTCTTCTTCTTCTTCTTCTCCTCCTCCTCCCCTCTTTCTGAGGCGTTTCTCCGACCTTCTTCTTCGCCTTTCTGCGGTTCTTTTAAAGTCGTTGCGTTAACGCTCCGGAGGAGAAAGAGAGGCGGGGGGGAGAAAAAGATTCAATGGAATTTTGTCTCCCTTAACTCCAGAGGAGAAAGTGAACGAGCGCTTAATAAGGCATGCTGGGAAATGGAGTTTTTATCCGCCTACTCGCCCTGATTCTTTCGCCGTTGGGTGGGGGGGGGGGGCGGAATCGTCTTTGGGACATGCGCGTAGCCTCGCGGCATGGGACCTGCGCAGGGCAAGTCGGGAAATTAGACGGCACTTTTTTTTTTTTTTTTTTTTTGGCCCTAGTGCGCAAGGCACGACGGGAAATAGAACTCTCGCCTGCCCTAAAGCGGTGTTCAGACCGCGCCGTTGAGTCGCGCAAAGGTTGCTGGGAAGCTTCTCTCGCGTTGGTTGATGGGAAAAAGAGGCCGTAGAGATATAGTGATTTAGTAATCACACTTAGTGATTTAGGTAATTCCTTAATATTTTAAATATGCGTCCATTCAATCACTCTTATTTGTAGTTCTTTATATTTCAAGCTTCTGTAAACACTTAGTCCATAATGGCGCCTGCAATGCAAGCTAGAAAATTAAGTGAGAATTGTCATCCTTGCATCCATAGTGATAACTAGAGGACCATAGATATATGTCAAAGAAGAGACATGCAGATCCTAAAATTCCGGGATCCTTTTCAGATTTTTTTTTCGTGATTTCTCAATTGTACGGTACAGTACTATATTGTTTTATCCCAGTTGATTTTCATAATTGGAAATGTTGCACTTCGCTTCCCAGAATGCCCCAGTCAGCATCTGCAGACTTCAACTCACAGAATGCCTAGGCTGCCTGGGGCATTATGGGAGTTTGAAGTCCACTCATCTTTTAAGTTGCCAAGTTTGAAAAACACTGTTATGTCCATTGCTTTTCTATAGACAAAAAACAAATTATCTCTGTTAAACGAGAACAGAAAACAAGAAGAGTTCTCCACTCCTCTACTCGTTGTAGAATACTTTATGCCACCAGACTTGAAATTCTAGAACTAGAAAACCTTGAATTACGCCATCTTCTGTCCGATTTAAGTATGGTATATAAAATCATACATTGCAATGTCCTACCTGTCAATGAATACTTCAGCTTCAACCATAACAACACAAGAGCACACAATAGATACAAACTCAAGGTTAACCGCACCAAACTTGATTGCAGGAAATACGACTTCAGCAACAGAGTGGTCAATGTCTGGAATACTCTACCCGACTCTGTGGTTTCTTCCCCAAACCCCAAAAACTTTAACCTTAGACTGTCTACTATTGACCTCACCCCTTTCCTAAGAGGTCTGTAGGGGGCGTGCATAAGCGCACCAACGTGCCTACCGTCCCTGTCCTATTGTTTCTTTTTATTTTTCTTATATGTACCCATTTCATGTATTCATACACTTATACTTACTATCTTGTAAACAATTGACAAATCAAATAAATAAATAAATAAATTGCATGGGGAAAATAGCTAATGCCGGAGTGGTTAGAAGCAAACCAGTGGTGGGATTCACATATTTTTACTACCAGTTCTGTGGGCGTGGCTTGGTGGGCATGGTATGGTTTGGTGGGTGTGGTTTGGTTTGGTTTGGTGGGCATGGCAGGGGAAGGTTACTGCAAAATCTCCATTCCCTCCCCCCCACACACACTAACCTGCTTTCCAGCCCCGTTCCCCTGTGCAGGGCAACTGAAGAAGACCCAGCCGATTAGTTGGGACTCAATGGGAGGCAGAGAAGAGATGGGGGCAGGGCCAGTCAGAGGTGGGATTTGCCGGTTCTCCAAACTACTCAAGATTTCTGTTACTCTCCAGAACTGGTCAGAACCTGCTGAATACCTCCTATGTATATATATATTTCTTTTAATGATCCTATAATCCCTTGCATTGGGGTGGAGTCAAGGCAACTGAATGGAGCTGAGTGTTTACTGACCGGATGCCCTTCCTGTCACCAATGCAGAGTTGGCAGCAGATATATTCTCCTTATGCCCAGAGTGAGAAATATCTGCCGCTATTTAGGATTGAACTCACAGCCTCCTGATTGTGAGCAAACTACGGACATCTCCAGCCAAAACAATCTAGCTGGGTTTAATTGGCCATTATGTACCTATAGTCCTTAACTTACAACCATTTGTTTAGTGACCATTCAAAGTGAGAACAGCATTAGTAAAAGGGACTTATGACCTTTTTCACACTTGTGACCATTGCAGGATCCCCATGGTCATGTGATCGTAATGTGGGCGCTTGGCAAGCGGCATGTATTTACGGTGGTTGCAGTGTTCTGAAGTCACGTGGTCACCATTTGTAACCTTGTCAGCTGACTTCTTACAAGGAAAGGAAAGGGAGCCCGGTTTACTTCATGACTGCATGATTCACTTAACAACTGCAGTGATTTGCTTAACAACGGGGACAAAAAGGTCATAAAATGGAGCCAAAGTTTATCCAACCACTGCCTTTTTCTTAGCAATGGAAATTTTGGGCTCAGTTGTGGCCGTAAGTTAAGGATTATTGGTACTATAAATAGTGTTTGTAAGTAGTGTGTTATCCTAGGGCAGTGTTTCACAACCTCAGTGACTTTAAGATGCATGGACTTCAACTCCCAGAATTCCCCAGGCAGCGTGATCTAGGACAGGGGTCTCCAACCGTGGCAACTTTAAGCCTGGCGGACTTCAACTCCCACAATTTTCCAGCCAGCAAAGCTGGCTTCTGGGAGTTGAAGTCCGCCAAGCTTAAAGTCGCCAAGGTTGGAGACCCCTGATCTAGAACAGCCCAACATCAGAAGTCTGGTATCCTCTTTTGTGACGGCCACATTTTATACAAAGGCAGAAACTTTGTGAAATGCAGCTCACTGCAATCAGGTGCATGGAGTGGTTTGTAAATTGTTTGTAAATAGTGCAAGCCCCACAGTTTGGGGGCCCCCTTCCCTTTGCATGATTAACATATAAAATCTTATTCCAGGGTAGGAAACACTAAGAGTTACAACATCATGGGTAAGCATTGGTCAACAGCTGTTCCGGGTGTAAATTAATCTCAAATCCTCTTTTGCAAATGGATGAGTGACACAACATCCAAAAAAAGTACATTTCTTCTTGTTCGAGAAAGTTTGTTTCTCAAACTTCGAGGGACACCCTTGCACAGCACAAAATGTTCTAATCTGTCCTTTCTCTCTCATGCTTTGCAATTCAGACGTTCCGTCCATTGATTGCTAAAATTACTTGAGTTTTCTCAACCTTAGCAACTCTAGAATGTGTAGGCTTCAATTCCCAAAATGCCCCAGCCAGCTTCCTGGGAGTTGAAGGCCACAGTGCTTCTAAGGTGCTTTTTTCCAAAGACAACTGACCTTGAAGATGTTTCCCTTCCCATCCAAGAAGGGAAAAACTGCTGGTGACCTTCTACCTCTGCACCATAGACAGCATCTTAACTTACTGCACCTCTGTATGGTTTGCCAATTGCACAGTGGCGGATGGGACAGCACTCCAGAGGGTTAATGTCATTGCCCAGAGGATCATGGGTTGCCCTCTCCCCTCTTTGGAAGAGCTTTATAGCTCCCGCTGCCTTAAGAAAGTTATGAACATCCTTAAAGATCCATCTCATCCTGGGCACCCCTTGTTTTGAACTATTACCATCTGGCAGATGGTACAGGACAATAATAAAAACTAGGGCAAATAGGCTGAAAAACAGCTTCTATCCCAGAGCAGTAGCTTTTTTGAATTCTACTGCATAGTGTAGTATTAGTGTGGTATTGGGGGTTTTAGGTTCAACGTGTGGAGTGTGGAGTGTGGAGTATGTGTGTTTGTGTTTATTTTCATGGTCATGATGTGCACCGAAGAAGATATTTGATTTCATTGTACGAGATGCAATGACAATAAAGTAAAGCAAATCTAACCTTCTTCAGTTCTGACTGAATTGAAGAACTGTCAGGGCTGAAGAAGCTTCTTGGATGAGAAGTCTTCGAGGAAAAACGAAGTCCGGTTGCCTTTTTTTGGGGAAAAAAAAACACCTTTGACACAATCATGACCGAGAATCTCCATAGACGTAAAGGCAGAAGTGATATTCAGCCGGTTCGGACTGGTTTGGCCGAACCAGATGTTAAATTTACATCTGATCAATCAAACCCGTAGTTGAACTGACTGGCTGGCCCTGCCCATCCGTCCCCTCCCAGGATGTGGCCCATTTTCAATGCAGGTAAGTGCAGGGTGGATGCTCTGGGAGGGGGAAAAATAGGCCGAACCAGAAGTCCAGAAATGGGCCTGTTTCCGCCTTCCTGGAGGTCTCCAGAGCCCAGGGGAGGCCGTTTTCACCCTCCCAGAGACTCAAGGGAAGTGTTGGCCTCCATCTTTGATTTTAAGCCTGCCTGTAATCCAAGAATGAAAGACATTAACCGGGGATCCCTCCCACCAGCGACGAAGTGGATGCGGAACGGGGATTCCCCACGACGCTGCCTCGCAGGGCTACCCGGGAGGGGGAGGCTGAATGAGAATTCCCACATGACGTGGCTGGGGGGGCTCCCGCACTGCTGCAGAGCGGGGAGGGGGGGATTGGTGCATGGAGGGGGGAGTTATGCATCGGGGGTTTACAAGGTGTTCGGGGACGTCGAGGGTATCGGCGATAGGGAGAACGCACAGCGTTTGAGGCTACGGCCTGGGAGTCCAGCCTAAGTAACTAATTACCCATGTTAGGAAACGTTGAATTTATGCATAATTAGAACAGGGTGGTCTACAGGAGGTAGCTGCGATTCGACGGGTGGGGTTCTGCTATAAGGCGTGCCGGAAGGCAAACGCTCCCAGCGCTAACCTAGATTGGAATTCGAGCCATTATCGCTGGATGGGATGTGCGTTACTTGTGCAAATAAACGACTGCACACATCCATGTTTGCGGGTTTGTATCTTTGGGAATACGAACATCTTGAAGACCAGCTGACAGGAAGCCCCCGGATCCCGGGGAAGGCAAAAAATGGCCCTCTTGGAAATTCTGGTAGGCCACGCCCACCGCCATGGCCACGCCCACCCAACAACCGGACAGTAAACTGGGCTTTATGCAGGGGTGGGAGTTCAAGATCCCAGCAACCGGTTTGCTGCCCAGTTGTTGGGAGTTTTGAATCGCACCCGTCCATAAAGCCCACAATCTTAAAAAGGGTTGATTTTGGAAAACACTCGGGAACACTTTGAAACCTGCAACAGAGTGGTCAATGTCTGGAATACTCTACCCAACTCTGTAGTTTCTTCCCCAAACCCCAAAACCTTTAACCTCAGACTGTCTACTGTTGACCTCACCCCTTTCCTAAGAGGTCTGTAGGGGGCGTGCATAAGCGCACCAACGTGCCTACCGTCCCTGTCCTATTGTTTCTTTTATTTTTCTTATATTTTTCTTATATGTACCCATATCATGTATTCATAATTATGTATACACTTATACTTATTATCTTGTAAACAATTGACAAATAAAATAAAATAAAATAAAATAAAATAAAATTTAGGTTTTCATCCTTCCCAATACCCAAGATAGAAAATGGACTATTTCTGACCATGCGTTGTATGTTTAGCTTATTTATTGAATACTTTATTGCCATCTCAAGAAGAAACCCGCAAGGCAGGTTTAGAAAAAAAAAAAGAAAAGAGGAAGACCTACATACACAGATTCCTGTATTCATGGTGGTTTCAGTTTCCCGTGGTTTGCGAGACAAATGCAGTTCATGAATAAAAGAATGATTTGTTGAAAAAAAAATACATTCGGTCCTCTTTCAACAGCCTATATAGGGCCAAAGAAAACCCATTTCAACAGCGGAATTCATGTATAGATCTGAAAATATTTTCTAGGAAAAACTGGCCTTTGCTGTAACTTTTTAAACAAGCGTCAAACCATCCCTTGACCATTTCAGTGGTCATCCCAGTGGATGGATGGATGATAAGGCTTAATAAAGTCTTAATAAAATAGAGAGATTGTCCCACTGTATTGTTGGAGTAAATTATCTATCTTGTTCCAATAGCTGTAAGCTTACTATAAAAAAAAATTACTGGATATACCAATCCAGTAAGAATGCCCCAAGGTAGAATACAGATAGCCTTTGACTTACGACCACAATAGCGAGACAGTGGTTAAGTGGGATTTGCCCCCCCCATTTTACAATCTTTTCTTGCTGCAGTTGTTCATTGAATCATTGCAGTTGTTAAATGAGTAACACGGTTGTTAAGTGAATCCCGCTTGCCCCGTTGACTTTGTTGGTCAGAAAGTCACACACACCCCGGGGACACTGCAACCGTCATAAGTACATGCCAGTTGCCTAGTGCCCGAATGTTTTAATCACGGGATCATGGAGAGGCAACGGTTGTTAAGTGTGTGACAAACAGCCATCGGTCACTTTTCCCCGGTGCCGTTCTGACTTTGAAAGGGTCTGCCGAAGGAAGTGTTGTAACTTGGAGATGACCTGTTCCCTATTCTTAACCAGAGTTTTCTCATCTTTCTCAGACCCAGTACAAGACTTGTGTGTCCATAAAGTAATATACGGTATAAGCAGGGGTGGGCTTCCAATTTTTTAGCAAGGGGCTCTCTGCCCTAATGACCAGCTGGGTGGGTATGGCTAGGTGGTCATGTGACTGAGTGGGTGTCAATGTCACTTCTTTGCCCTAGTTGCCTAAAAAAAATAATAATATAACAAGAAGTTGTTTATTATTTCGTGCAAGACCGGGTGTGCAAGCAGTGATTGTGAGAGGGATCTTGGAGTCTTAGTGGAATTTCTGGTAAGTTACGTGATTCTTATTATTTGGGAATTAATCCCCTTGAAGACTAGGGGCTATGTTATCTGATTTTTCCAAATGGCTCTCCCTCACAAGCGCTAAGTGGGTTGTTTATCTAGCTTGCTGCACTTTTACGAGGTGTGAAATGCTCTTGGCTGAATGCCCAGAAGTTCAATTAAGCCCATTAAGAGCTTTCCCTTGCTGTTTCTCTTTCTGAGGTTATTGGGGGCTCTCCTGAGCCCCTGCGAGCCCCCAGCAGCCCACCCCTGGGTATAAGATGCTGTTCCAGCTTTGGAGATTCAGTTTGTGTTCCTACAGAGACTGTGGTCCTTCAAGAAACCAGCTGGTGAAAACGACGGGTTGTGTCAGAAGTCAAGGCCAAAGAGCAGGATGTAAGGGAAGGAAGGCATGACATCAGCCAGGGAAGCCAAGAACAAGGAAGCTCCCCAGCATGTGTGAAATTGAGGTTGCCCAAGGAAGACGTGCTTGGAACAGGACATTCCTTTGCATTTCAGGCCTTGGCTAACCACCGTGGGCTTGAGCAAGTCCCTCATCGGGCATCGGCCATTCTAAGGTCTCCGTACATTGCAGAAAACCACCATCTCCTATGCTTGCAGGCAAGGCTGGCCAAAACCATCGCTGACCACCAAAGCGCTCAACACGCTGGAGTTGCTGGAGAGAGGCTCTTTCCTGGCGGTCCGTTTCTGTATCGCGGGGCTTCGGAAGCTCTCGCGCACCTTCAAGGAGCTCCCCACCTCCGTGGTCGAGCTGGGGAGGTGGTCACTGGGGGCGAGGCATCCGCGGGGGCCTCGCCACCCTGCCGAGATGCAGCAGCAGCAGAGAAGCTCTGCCACGGCTCTCCTGACCTCTTTGCTCTTCAAGGAGTAGATGATGGGGTTGATGAAGGAGTTGAAGACCGCCAAGGTGACAAACCAGCCGAAGATCTTCTGCAGCTCCGGGGCTCTGCTCCCGTTGAAGAAGTCAAGCAGCAGCAAGACGAAGAGGGGGATCCAGCAGACCAGGAAGGTGAAGAGGATGATGAGCACCGTCTTCAGCAGCCGCAGGGATCTCATCCGGCATCCGCTGGAGAAGCCCAGCTTGGCCCGTCTCCCAACCCAGCAATAGATGGAGCAGTAGAGGCTCACCACGCCCACCAGGATGATGCTGAACATGACGACGGTGAAGAGGATGTAGTTCTTGGAGTAAAGCGGGAGTAAGGTGGAGCAGTGCGGCACGTCGCAAATGCAGTTCCAGCCAAGCAAGGGAAGCAGGCCAATGACGAAGGCCAAAAGCCAGGAGAAGAAAATACTGTTGCGCAGGCGGCTGGTCTTGACGGACTCGCTTTCCGCGATGGGCCTCACCATGACACTGAAGCGCTCGATGGCCGTCACCAGCAGGCTGAAGATGGAGGCCGCCAAGGCGATGAAAAGGATCCCCTCGCGGAGAAACCACATGTAGGGCGTTAGCTGGAAGGTCGTCCGGCCCGACAGGCAGAGGTTGATCAAGTAAGCGATCCCAGCCAGCAGGTCGCTGGAGGAGATGCTGGCCAGGCAGGTGAAAATCCAACGCCGGCTTCTCACCTTCAAGACGATGGCCAGCAGGACCACCAGGTTTTCCAAAATGATGAGGCAGCTGGCGGCGATGATGATGATCTTGAGGACGTCGAGGTGGTCTTCCTCAGGTCGCCGGTGGCTCAGCCGTCCGGTGAGGTTGTAATGGTACAGAATGATGTTGAAGTCCTCAGTGTCGGTCAGGAGGGAGCAGGACTGCTGGCTACGGACGGAGCCCACCGGCGACTTGAAGGTAGAAATAGGGAATGAAGAAGGAGAGGAGGAGGAGGAGGAGGAGGAGGAGGAGGGGGAGGAGGAGGAGGAGAAGGAGGGGGAGAAGGACAGCTGGTTTTGGTCCGTCATGTTGTGGAGAAAAGAAACCATCAAACGAGGAATCGCAGTGGGCAATGCAGGTGGGCTCGTGGTTGGAAAGACGCGGCTAGGACACCAGCTGCGTTCTCTGTCTTTTACCGGAGGAGGAAAAAAACAGAGCGACTTTCAAGACAGGAGAAGCCAAACCCAGGTGTCCGAATCTGGCTTCCGAGAAGAAGCTGAACGGGATTGGAAGACGCAAAGTCCAGCCAAGCATCTCCAGAGAGGAACCGATGCGCCCACGAGAGCGACAGTCGCCTTCCAAGTCTTCGCACTCGGCTTGAAGGACGACGCCTGGCAGAGGCGCCCGCAGGACCGCAGAAGGAAGCCTGGTGGGAATTGAAAGGCAAGAAAAAGAGGAAAAAAGAAGGAAAGAAATTAAAATTGTCGCAATAGAATCCGGCAACGTTTCCTGCCTTTTTTTTTTACAGACGTCAGCAATGTTGTTTTCTAATTTTGGCTGGCATGGTTTCAGCGTGCAATGCAACCCATTTACCGGCTTTTTTCTTGCTTCGCTGGCATGCAACCCCGGTGATGATTTAAAAGGCTTGAGAAATCTGCGGGATGGTTTCCTCATCAGGACGGTGCAATCAATTTACCACTCTCCTCTATTTTGACCAGCGCACAACCTCGACGAGAGAGAAAAAAATCTCTCCGTTGCAAAAGGCCTTTTTGTAGTAGGGAAAAAAGAGAGGAAAACGGCGGTTTTCCTTTAGAATTGGTGAAATAAATGCAATTTCTGACAGGAAGAAAGCGAGGCAGGAGGGGAACCCCAAGCAAATCTGATTTTACAGTACGTTTTATTTAAAGGTAATCCTCGATTATTATTATTTTTTTGCCAGTATTCGTTTAGCGACCGTTCAAAGTTACAACGTCACTGAATGAAAAAAAAAAAGTGGCTTCTTATGACCGGTTTTCACAATTAAGAACGTTGCAGCATCAACAAGGGGATGGGATCAAAATTTGGGCACGTGGCAACCGGAGGTGCATTTAGGAACGTTACAAGTATTAGATAAACTTACAAGTATTCGTTTAGTGACGGCACTGAAAAAAGTGACTTATGACCAGTCATCACACTTAGAGCAGCATCTCCCAATGGTCACATGATCGAGATTTGACCACTTGGCAACCGGCATATATTTGTGGCACAAACACACACACACACACATGCACACACACACACATACACACACACACACACACACACACCCTATGCTGGACTGTAGGGGAGAGGCTGCGAATTATTATACCAGTTGCAAAGGCAATTTCCATTTATTGGTGTCATCAGATTTCTTCTTGCAGTTAGTCCTCGTCTTACAATCACAACGGAGCCCCCAATGTCCAGGGCTAAGCAGGCAGTGAGTTAAGTGCATTGTGCCCCATTTTACGACCTTCGCTTACGTTAAGCGGATCGCTGCCGTTGTTCAGTGAATCATGCAGTCGTTAAGCAAGTCGGGCTTCCTCCATTGACTTGGCTCGTGGGAAGCTGACTGGGGAGGTCGCAAAAGGGGATCACATGGCCCCGCAACGGCCATGCAAGGGCCATAAATATATATGCTGGTTGCCAAGTGGCCAGATTTTGATCACGTGACCGTTGTAAGTGTGATAACCAGTCATAAGTTACTTTTTTCAGTGGCGTCACTAAATGAACACCTGTAAGTTGAGCACTTATCTGTATTAACATTTATAAAGCCACATTAACACTAGGACTTCAAAGCAGGGGTATTTAGTTATTAGAATAGAGTAAGAGAGTTGGAAGGGACTTTGTAGGTCATCTAGTCCAACCCCCTTCCAAGCAGGAGATCCTACATCATTTCTGACAGGTGGCAGTCCAGTTCTCTTCTTGAAAGCTTCCCACCACTTCAGAAGGCAGCTTCTGTTCTCCCTCTTCCTGTTTTTCCCCATAACACCCCTGCAAGGTAGGCCAGGCAGACAAAGAATTAATATCTCAACACCCTGCAGGGAACTTTTAGAAGTGAGGATGGAGCAGAAGCTGGTTTTCCAGGGTTAGTCCAACTCTTTAAACCTATAGGAACCCCAACCCCTTTACAGGGAGTCCTCGACTTAACAACAGTTCATTTAGTGACCATTCAAAGTTACCACGGCACTGAAAAAAGTGACTTATATCCATTTTTCACACTTAAAACCCTGCTCAAAATCTAGACACTTGGCAACCGACTCTCATTTATGACGGTTACAGGGTCCGCTTTTGCGACCTTCCGACGAGCAAAGCCAATGGGGAATCCAGATTCACTTAACAACCATGTTACTAACTTAACACATGCAACGATTCGCTTAACAACGGTGGCAAGAAAAGTCTTGAAATGGGGCAAAATTTACTTCACGAATGTTTCACTTAGCAGCGTAACCCTGGGGCTCAATGACAGTCATAAAACCGAGGACTACCTATAGCTGCTGGGGAAACGGGAACGAATCACAACGCCACCCCTGCGGTGTTGCCCACCCAGACCCACCCGAGCAGCTGTGGCCTCACGAAGCTTACACACGTGCAATTCTAACCTGGATTTCGTTTCCTCACAGCGGAGAAATGGTTAGAAGGGTCAGGAGAATTAAGCCCAGATTTTGCACAAATCAGTAAAAGGCACGGCATAAATCGATCCAGCTAATTTTAACCGCAGTTTTGTTTCTATTCATTCATTTTCGTTGTGGTTGGAAGGCACCTGGAAGGTGGGAGGACGTTATAAATATATCATTTTTATGTGCGGTTTGTAAAAACGTAGTAAGAGGACTCTGAAAGAATTCCCTCAGCTGATGAGTAATTTACATTCACGAATCAAGCTTAGTCATAACCTGGCTTTTTAAAAGCTTAGTTATAGTTTAGCGTGATGCTTCATTCTGGTCACCGGAGGATGTAAATCCTGGTTTCTTATATTGGGTCACGCTAACCAGCTGTGGCTGAGTCAGTAAACCGAGGAGTACAACCCATGACTTAGCTCCCAAAAAGAGCTTTTAGTCCATTATCCTAAATCACCGGTCTTCTGCAAGTTAAAAAAAACAAACTAAGAAATGACATCCCGGGATCCTTAAATCCAGGGAAGATGTCACACAAAATGTGAAATCGATTTTTTTAATCGAGCTACTTGCAGAAAACCGCTTTCTAAATCCTTTGACCGCTGAAAGAACCACAGATTTAAGCTCTAAAATAAAAGTGTTGTGGTGAAGAAGAAAAAAGCACACACACTAAAAAAAGAATAAAAGAGGACAAGTGAAAAAAATCGTCACATGCGATGAAGCAAAAGCCATGGGAAAAGGGGAAAAAAAATACAGATTTGGTGCCATGTTAATTTCAAAAATAGAGATTTGCACAGCAGTGCGGGGGGGGGGGGATCTCATTCAGTCCCAGTGCTATTTTTTAACCGTTGCTGCTTCCAGAATTAATCCACTTCAAATACCCTAATAAATAATGACTTAACATGCAAATTGCTCATTATGCGAAGCCATGATTTACTTTAAACAAACCGTGTCGAACAAACCATGATTCCTAGATCACATCTCAAGCCAAAAGCAAAAGAAATCATGGCCATCTTAACCGGGAGACCGACCCCACCACAGAGAGACAAATCTTACAAAACAGCCGGGTCCACATCACACATTTAACCCAGTTATTAAACAAGCCCATTTTTCCGCATTCACACATTACATCAAACTGTAAATTCATCCCCCGTTGGGCTGAGTCGTAGACTATGCTGAGCGAGGAGAAAAAAATTACCTTAATTTAAATTTAACTTAAATGTTAAAACAACCCATTGGCTAAATCTTTACTTGACTAGGTTGTGTGAACACAGCCACGCGGTAACACGCAGGTCAACTTGTCACTAAATCTGATGAAACTTCGCTTCCAGGGAATCCTGTGCAGAAATTCTGCAGTCTTTCTCTTAAACTCGAGCGGGTGGCTTCCAATTTTGAGATTTATAGAAACCCCATCGATCCGGAGAATGGAAGATCTTGGATTCAAAGACAGAATCTCCAAGGCGGGATAAGGGAAAGGATCGAGTGTGCAATAGCTGTCTGAGATAGGCGATTTCAGAATCAATCAAAGCTTATCTCTTTTTCTCTTCTCGTATAGGAGTAGGCATGGGATTCCCCCTATGTTTTTGTCCAGTGACAAGAAATCAAGGGAAAAACCCTTTTTTAGCCAGAGAGATTTTGTTACTCAAAATAGATAACAAGATTTCTGTATTTTATTTCTTGATTTAAAACATTTATATAGCTGCCCCGTCATATAATCAAGGCTGGGCAGTCCCCAGTCATTGGGATGGATAATCTACATCGCCTTTGGTGCGAAAGGGACTTTCTTGGGTTTTGGATGCATTGAGAATCTGTTCTGGAATATCCATCACGGTTAAGGGTCTTAGTTTGCCAAGCAAACCAAGATTAAGCCAATGATGGTTTAGGGCAGAGTTCGAACACATCTCCACTCCGAGCATCGGGCTTCTGCTAGCTACCCTTCCAATGATGCCAGAGGCAGGAGCAGGAGAAAAAAAAGAAGACTTGCAAAGGAGATTGGAGAACGTTGAACGAATAAACGGAGAGAAGACGGAAAGGGAAAAAATATATATATTAAAAAATGTTTGTCCCGTTTCCCACACACACACACACACACACACACCGCTCCAGCTCACCTGGCTCAAAAATGAGTCCACCTCACCAGCAGCTGCTCAGTGATGTGATTCATTGGGTAATCCACACAAGGTTCACGTGCGGTGATCAAAATTTACTGGGAGGTGGTTTGACCCCAAACCTTTGAGTAGTTGTGTGTCTGCGCGTGCATTGTGTTTTTTCCTCTTTTCTTTTTTTCTCCTTTTTTTGTTTTACGCGTTAAAAATAAAAAAAGGGGCCATGCTTACCTACAAAACAAGAGGAAGGAGATATTGCTACACCCAAACCGCAAACAGACCCAACCCAAGAAGTGGTTGGCAGGGTGTCAACAATTTTTTTTAAAAAAATAAAACAGCTACTTGGCCTTTAGGCTGAGCTCCGTTCTTCCAGTCAGTGTGTCAAGTTAGCCTACTTCACACCAACGATTTGTCCTCTATTTTCCATTTCAAGCACACAAAAACAAAGACCTTAATTGTTCATGCCAAGAGTTAGTTTCAAGATATGAATGGTAGGATCTTTGGGGCG